ATCTGGAGCAAGGACAAAAACATTCAACCAGGGCCAGAAATCAAAACAACGAGAATTTCAGCTTAAATCAGCATTAATCTTTCTAGCCATCCTGCTGATGTCAGTGGAACATTTAGCTCCAGGGTTTAAGTAGAAGGCCAGCAATGTTCCATATTTCTGTAATTGTCAACAAGTCTAAAATAAAACTCAACTCGTGTTTTTCTCTTCTCTTCACCTGTCTGTGGCTCTTGGCAGAAGCTCATTGTTTTTCCAATATGAGTATATATTTTTTTTAATGGTCACAAATGTACAGAAAGGTTTTCATACAGTAAATCAGCTGTGCATTGAGGTGTTTATCAAACATTCACCGGACAACACAGTGAATTTGTTCAGGATTATTTTACACTGAAGTGAGTATTTTTGGCAGCTGGGTGGTTTGACTCAAACTATTCATGTTAAAAAAACTTGAGCTTGTATAGCACTTTTCTAGTCATCTGACTACTCAATGCGCTTTACACCCCAGGTCACACCTACACATTCTTTCATACCTGTTCACACCCTGATGGCAGAGGCTGCTAATGAGCCCATCCTTCTTTTGAGAAATAAACATGCCTACAAGTGCAGCCTTGATGGACATTTTAAAAGTATATGAGAATCTTTATTTAAACATTTTAAGTCATCTGTCCTAGAGCTTACAGTTCACTAACTGGGTTTTTTACCTTGACTATTTCTAAAACTGCAATCTGTTGAAAACTGGATAATATTTATACATCAAAAGTGCAATCTATACATGAAGCGTGCAATATCTACGCTGTTAATCCATCAGTGTATATTCATATTTGTAAATATTGTTTATATTCTCAATGACCTGCGCTTGAACATAGCTTATTACTATAACTACTTTATTATTGCTTTCACTTGCTTATTATATTGTTATTACTGTTTTTATTTTATTTTATATTGTGAGCTTATCTGTACTTCCTACTGATTTTTGGTGTTATGAGCAACTGTAGCAAACAAATTTCCCTCTGTGATTAATAAAGTTTTTCTTGATTCTCATTTACCGTTATTCTAAACAGTCGCAAACTCAAGATCAAACAGTAAAAACATCACACTGTTTTCCTAAAGCCCCTACAGTCTCTTGTCTTCTTTACTTGTATGTTTTAAACATACAAGTGGAAGCTCGTGCACTCACCTGGTGCCAGGGCAAACATCGACAGGGACTCTCCAGTTGAGGCCACAGCTATGACCAAAGAGCGTCGTCGGTTAAAGTACTGGGAGAGGATGGTCAACGTGGGCAGGAAAGTCAGACAGTAGCCAATACCTGCACAATGGAAAAGACACTTTTTTTTAAAACTCTTAAAACAAAAAAGAATTGAAAATTAAAATATGAAAACAAATTATAAGGTCTCTACAAAGGGAGAAAATTAAAAAAAGAAAGAAATACAAAACCTGCGACTAATCCATATGTGATGTACATTTGATTGATGGAGCTGGTGAAGCTGGTTGTGATCGAGCCAGTGGCCATGAGAAATCCTCCCAACATCACAACAAGCTGGAACCCAAAGCGGTTAGTCATCACAGCAGAGAGAGGAGCTGAGGACCAGAGGAGAACAAACGGATGTTAAGTGAAAACTAATTCTCTGAGGTCCATAGTTATTCCAACACATAAGATCTCATCGGCTCTGCTCACCGTTAAACGTCATGACAAACAGACAGATTGAAACGATCCAGGAGACCCGACTGTTGGTCTCTCCAAACTCCTCCATCAGGTCCTGCAGGAAGATGCCAAAGCTCTTGATGGTGCCATAGGTGCAGACCCCCACCAAGAAGAAGGCTGCAGCCACAACCCATCCCCAGCCTCCGTCAGGGGCCTCTGGGTACACGTTGGGCCCCAGGCATCGTGGTCTCTTAACTCGAGACAGCACCATGGCCTTTAGAGAGGAAAGACAGATTTAGGGACTGGACTGCTGTTGGGGGGGGGGGACCTGTGAAACTTTTAATGGAAGGAAAACTTTTTAAAAAAAATCTATGTACAGGGAAAAACCACTTCTTCTTCCCCACATCATTATGTAAAGTTTGTTAGACATCAAGAATAGATTTCACCAGTCACTGTTTATCACCAATGTGACCAGATGTTGTATCAGTTGAAAAATCTTGCAGATGTACTGCTTGAGGTGGCTGCTTGTCACAGGCAAGGCATGTAGCTGCTTGGGGCCCCAGGCCAGTAGGGGGCCCCCCCGAGGGCTGACAAACTTTAAATTCAAAGCAGTGACCCAAAAAAGTGCAAAACTGGCTATGACAGAAGGAAACCTCCCCAAGGGGCCCCCATCTGACAGCACTCACTCTTGTTGCCTTGCTAAAGCGTTGCAATGAATTATTTCTAAGGAAATTTAAGTTTGTTGATGAAAGTCAACAAAGAAAAATGAAGAGGAGTTATCCATCTATAGGAGAGAAAAGAGAAACAGAATAAAGGAGGAAGAGGACATTGTGACACGATGGTGATGAACTCTGGTCGGAGGGCCCCCCAATTATTTTCTGCCTAGGGCCCCAACAGACTCAAAAATCGCCACTGTTAATGTGAAAAGTATGACAAAAAAATCTCTAAATACATACATTTAATGATGTCATATTTTATGTTAATAATAATATGATCTGGTTTTGCCAACTTTTTATCCTCCTGCAGTGTGCTTACTCAAACATGAACGTGTAACACGCTGAAAATGCTTTATCTTATTTCTTTCTATCATTTTGTTATATCAGTGTGTCTAGTTAAACTAATTTAATTTCCAGAAGTATTTAAGTTAATTTAAATTTCTAAGAGTAAACCGTAAATACTGTGTGTTTTATCTACCTTTTAAGATGAAGACACTGGCCCTTTAAGAGAGGCTCAGTGAAGAAGACACAGAGGTGTGTGTAGGCTGAAAACAAAGCTTGTGTAAAGCTGTGGGGCATTTCTTTAATAAAAGTTGCTAAAAGTGAAGATGGACGAGTTCTGACCGCTTCATTTCAAGGGTGCAACAAACGCACTCTGACCACACATGCGTCAACTTCAAAATCAAAGCCACTTCCAGACACCACAAACATGCTGACAGATTTGTTACATTAGGGCAGGTACCTTTTTTTTTTTTTACATTCAGCCACAGTATCCACAACATTTAGCACGATGAGTTGACATCTCAGGTCAGTCCTAGCTAACAACAACGAACCCAAAAGACTGCCCGGATCCTGTGGCACACAAGTGTCCTCAGCAGCTATGTTGAATGTTAATGTGTTAATGTTATCTTTGATTGCACAGCCACAAATTTGCACAGCTCTGGAGAACCCTCTAAATTGTTATTACATAAGTACCACTGTCATCACTGTTTTTGCAAACTTACATCTCTTACCTCCAGCAAGTATTTTGACATTCAGTTGACAAGCCTGAATAAATGTTGTATTTCATTTTTCATTTTTTTAACCAGTAAGAATGTTAAGTCAAATCCTTAATGTATAGATCTCTTCTTATTCTTTATATTCTAAGTGCTTATTTACTATGTATCTATTCTTATATTGTTTTATTTGCTCTGATAACCTGCTGCTGTAACACCACAATTTCCCAGTTTGGGATCAATAAAGTAATTCTATTCTATGACAAAGATGGACTCATTGTGCGTTGGGGTTGGTTAGGGGAGGGTGGGGTAAGATGAGCCAGTTTCTACTTATGTGCTTCTCCAAGCAAGGAGAACGGAGTACCATGAAAACATCTACTCTTAATTTGAGATGTTGCCTCAACTGAGAATCTAAGAATGCATCTTTGACAAAGGGCCTTAAAAAACAACTTCAGGAAAAGAAAGTGTTCCTGCGGGTTCAAATGACCCCAGACCAGGGGTAAGTTCATCTGAGTCAGTGGGTAGAAGGAGCCATCTGGGGGTAATTCGACCATCCTATTTTCAAGGTTTAATGAAGTCATGAAATAAATAAAAAAAAAATCTTGTTTTAAAAAATCGATTCAATGATGCATTTACCTTATCAAACAGTTGTTATTTGTTTTGTTTATAGTTACGTCAAACAACAAAAACAACCAAGTGAAGTTTTAATAATCTGTTTTTCTTTCATTGGTGAACAATAGTTTTAAACATTTCTGTAAAGTGAGGGTATGTGCACTTGTCCAGATCAACCATCAGCATAGTTTGAGGAGCAGAAACCATCTTATAACCAAAGACGGTGATGATTCAGTGAATGAAAATAAATAAATTAAACAGATGTTTAATTTATGTTTGGCAGAAGAAAACAAAGTTATTCCCTCCCGTATAGTTTCAGTCAAAATTGATGTGATCAGTTTCACTTTTTTTGACCTTGAGGAGAACAAGAGAAAAGTTTGAGCTCCAAGTCCACTGCGTCATGAAAACAACCATCTGATGTTTTGTCTATCAGTTGTTGCTCCCTACTTTCAGTTCTTTCAACATTTTTACATACAGTACATCAGCATTTTCCTAAAATTCAAAGGTAAGTTGAACCACTGGTTCAATTGACCCCACAGCACACTGCTGGACTCAGGATGTTTGAGGGACAGGGCCGAAAATAATAATAAAAAAGGGCAGTTAGAAACGCTGGTTAATATAAAATATCATTTATTACATGATTTGAACTACTGCACATCTGTGATAAAACACAAAAGCAACTATGAACTAAACTCCTCAAAAAAAGTTTGGAAACGTTATTTTGGTGACTTATTTACCCACATGTTTAACTGTGTTGCTCATTCCACAAATGCACGACCCTTACAAGTTATACCTTGTTGTAAAGGTGACCAATCAGGCTTTCCAACGATATCAAATACAACACCAATTAGTATTATTAAATGGGCGAAATAAGTGACCGAAATATCGTTTACAAACTTTTTGAGGAGTTTATTTAATCATTTATTTCCCAAAGATACAAAGGCGAGGATACAAAAATCACATTGTCCATCATGTTTTATTCTTCATGAGGACACTTTGGCGGCACTTGAATGACTTTTCCAGAGGGGACATCTCGAACCCTCCACGAGCTCCGAGGATCAAACTGGCTAGAAATCACTCCAAGAAGTGCAACAGGATCAGACAAAAGGCTTCGACCCCTGTGGTTAAGGCATGTGTTGTGTTGAGGGGGGAGGGGGTGTGCTCATGTAGTAGCCTAAGAACACCCACACTTTCAAAGTTTCTGCTCACCCCACTCTGTCCTGTCTTTCAACACACAAGGAACATTTGTGTGACAGTTTTGCCGTGGACCCCTTTTTTCATTCATTCAAATGATTTGAGTGGGTGGGGGTAGTGGGTGGTCGTGTAAAATAGTAGGAGCCATTTGTCCGAAGCTCGTGCGGCTGATGCAACGCACCCGGTCCGGCTGTGGACAATGTGACTCTAATATAACTGCTCCACACACTTTGTAAGTACTGGAACACCGCCTGTATTTCAATATAGCCTAGTTCATTTAAGCAGTGCTCACTATTATATGTTTCGCCCTATTAAAGATTTGTTGCACAATTACACTCCGTGTGACGAAGTGTCCGCGCGTAAAGCCGTGGACTGTCAGACTAAGTAGTGTTGAGTCTGTCTCACCTGTGTGTAGTCTCAGACGGAAGTCCTTCCTTCTCTTGTCCTCTGCAGCTTCGATGAGACACTGAACTTTACAAACACATATGTCCACGTATATGTCCTCAAACTCACGGACACGTCGAAACACACACACAACCAAACACACATACTACCATACTCTGTTGGAAAGAGCCCCCAAGGGGTGGGTGGGGTGAAAAGGGTTAAATACAAATCTGGATCCAGCCAGTTCTCTCTCTCTCTCTCTCTCTCTCTCTCTCTCTCTCTCTCTCTCTCTCTCTCTCTTTAACTGTGGTGACAGAGCTGTTCACTATTAGTTTGGAGTCATGGCCACTGATTGGATGATCGGGGAGTGAATAAGTCATTATCTGTTGTTGTGGCTCCGGTCGGGTAATTGTGGGGGACATATTGCTTCTAAATCACTGAATTTTCCCACGTTGACTCACAATATTTTCTCTGAGTCTTTTGATTTGAAGTTTATTTTTTCATTGATCTTTGTCAACTTCACGCAGACATTCGTTTATAGCAGATTCATCATATTCAGTGTGTTGTGTTGTGAGGTGACATGGGGCTATGTTTGAATGTTTTCGTTTCATGGCCTTTGCCCAGTACGGTACTTGTAGAGCTTCTTCTGTTAATCTATAACTGCTGTATAAGCCTACGTTAAAGTAAAAAAAACTGTTCAATTATATAATGTGAAAATAATAATAATAAAAACAATAGACAAATAAATAAATCTGTGTGCAGAAATCTCATTTGCAGAACAAGGAACTAACTAACTCCAGGAGAAATGCATAACAATTCCAGTGTACCCATGCCGTCCTGTACCATGTGCAGAAGGCAATACAAATTTAATATCATTTTTTTTATAAACTGTTGTTGACTTTTATTTACTGCTGAACCTTTGGAAGTGACGCAACCTTCCTATTGCCACACCATCGCGTCACATAAACTTTCTGATTGCACCTGTAAGATCTAGACTTCTTTTCTTTGGAAGTTTGTTTTCAACCAGAAATGCTGCAGCAGTGGTTTTATACTGTGCTCTGTTTTGACTGTGCTAAAGCAGCCTTTAAAACTTGAATTGGTGCAGTTCTTGTTTAGGTGGGGCAAGACTATGATCTGCTGCACAATAATATGATGATATACATGTTCAGCTTGATATTCTGTTGTGGTGAAGAGGAGGGAAAATTGGTTAATGGCAACAACTTCACACCAAGAGTCTTCAACAAACCCTTTGGACATAATCCAAAAGGTAGTGGAGAAGATTGCAATTGAGATTCATTTCCCTTGTGTGGTACAGACAGAACTTGTTCCTGAAAGAGAACATTTAACATTCAGCTTGTTTAAAACTAAAAGATGAAATCAACATTGTTGCTGCTGTATAAACTCAGTGATGAAACAGATTGTGGATTATAATGCGGATTAATCGGCCGAGGTCAGACAGTTACAACAGAACACAAATTGTTAACAATCACGGACAGACAAAGTACTGACAAAGTTAATAGACTTGCTTATATTCTGCTAGAAGGTACATCCTACAAATTATTTGTTCCTTTGGTACATCTCTATAAGGCTAGAAAGAAGACATCAGCTTGACTCGTAAATGTCAGACACATAACATTTCATTCTTAACAAACCTTTGTTTACAACAGACAGTTGGCTCCAAACCAAATATAACTCTGCTGCTATGCGATGTCAGTGTTTACCCTACCATTATATTAGGGGGGCGGCCCACCCCCCCAACGCCCCCCCTCCCCCCTTGAAGGTCAAGTTAATTATTTTTTTTATTTTTTAGATTTATTTTTGGGCTTTTTGTGCCTTTATTGTAGAGATAGGATAGTGGATAGAGTCAGAAATCAGGGAAAGAATTCATTTAAGGATACCTTTCCGATAGAACAGGACAGCTGTCATTCAAAGTAACACATGAACACCAAGATTCCTTCAAGTGTTTGTGTCATCTCCTCGCACTGTTCTATCAATTCTCCTTGCATTAAAACAACCCTCGTCCATTGTTTAGCAATGCTGTGATGTTCATGGTTAAAATATTTGTGAATGCCATGCTATAGTTTAAAGGAAACAAACCCATGTTACCTTTTTTGCAGATTTTGATACAAAATGGCCAAGGCAGTCACGTGGCTCCTTCTGTCTGGGATCCTGGTGTGTGGTCTGTTGCGCCACACTGCGTCCAAACAAGAAGAGGATGTTAATCATCCCAATGCAAAACCTAATTTCATCATCATACTGGCAGATGATATAGGCTGGGGTGACCTGGACGCTAATCAGCCTGAAGAGAAGGCGAACAACACACCTTACCTCAACCTGATGGCTGAACAAGGACTAAGGTAAACGATCAGTAAATCAGTTCTTTGTTATGTAGAACTACATTTAAAGTAATATTACTAATGTTTAATGTTAACTATATAACCTAACCTCTGAAATGTTTTTTTTCCATACTCCCTTTGTGACCTTCAAGAAGCTTTAGTGTTCTTTCTCCATAAGTGTGCTTACTTTCCCCAGATTGACAGACTTTCACTCTCCTGCGTCGACCTGTTCCCCGTCCCGTGCTGCTCTCCTGACAGGCCGCTACGGCCTCAGAAACGGGGTGACCCATAACTTTGCTGTGGGCTCTGAGGCCGGTCTGCCTCTGTCTGAAGTGACCTTCCCACAGCTGCTGCAGAAGGCGGGGTATTACACCGCCATGATCGGGAAATGGCATCTTGGTCACAATGGACCGTACAGTCCTACTAACAGAGGTGAGGAAGCTTGACATGAATCCTCCAAAACCCCATGGGAACTCAAGTATACATTATCTGCATCAGGCTGTGTGTGTGAGGTGTGACGAGGTGTGGGAATTTTGGTTGAACTTATTTCCTCATCTTGAGAGCGTTAAACATCAATTTGGCACAAAAAAAAAATATTTTAAAATGAGAACTGCTGAGGATTACATACACAGTGTAAAAAAGACTAGGATTTAACCTAGGACACATAAACAAATGAAATACGAGCTAAGGCACCGACCTCTCTCAGAACTACTATCTATCTTTCCTATTCAGTGTTGTGGCGTCAGTCACTTTCTCTAGGTCACTGCAGCCACACGGAGTGTGTGAGTGAACTCTCTGGCCTCGCTGCAGGGAGGATAGATTACACAGCAAACAACTGTCTGCAGCTGTGTCCTGTGAGAAGAGAGTATAGCAAGCAGTTTAAACATTTAAAGCAAACACACTCATTTCACATTATTATCCTAGACAAAATTGTCATCTCACTTTGTAATAATTTAACCAAAGACATCACAATGACACCTCCTATCCAAAATAGTCATTTCAGGTATCCACAAGGTCATCTCCCCTAGGACAAATGACGCCCTCTTGACATTCTTGTGTATTGGGCTTTTCATTTTAGAAATCCATCAGGTAATTTTTCCTACCCATAATAAACATTCTGGATACAATAGAATTTTTTCTAAGACAAAAATCTAATTTTTGATATCTACAATCCAGATATTTATTTTCTTTATTTTAATCTTATACTAGACATTACATTGTAAAGATCTGGATTTTTCTTCCCCTTCATTTTGGATATCCAAAATTAAATGCACAACTAATGAGATGTGGACTGTAGATATCTAAAATGGTAATTTTCTACTGCAGCTGTCCAATAAGTTTATCAGAAATGCACATTTTGACATGAAAGATTTGAATTGCAGTGATGTTAAATGTCTTGTTTTTAAATGTTTAAACTGCTTGCCAAAAGATTGAATTCTTAGTATCTTAAAGTCATTGACTTATCAAGGATTGTTTGTACATTAGTGCTGAGCAACTGGTGCACAGGAAAAACAACTTGCATGTCACTGGAGGGTCAGGGTCAGGTGCCAAGATGCCTGCAGTACTGATTCTTGTGCTAAAAGTGTTTCACACACACACACACACACACACACACACACACACACACACACATACACACACACGCACTCAAAATTTGTCTTCAGTAACTGCTCTAAATGTACAAAGTTAAACATTAAACATAATATAAGCAAGAAAAACACACTAATATAAGGCTAAATAAGACAGTAGTGCAGTGGTGAGTAGTGCAAAAAACAGATGAACATGATAATAAATATATAGTTATGTAACAGATGCTTAACTCTCAGGCATCAGTTTAATTTACAACCCTCTTAAGTACTAAGGACAAAAATGTCCATGCCAAAAAACTGCCATAAAAATAGAACAGATTGATATTTCTTTCTACTTTTTTCTGCATAAATCTCTTAAACAACTCCAGCCCTGCTCAAAACTACCAAACATTCAATCATTTTTGGAATTTAACCCTTTAAATTGTTATTTATGAAAAAAAACACAAAAATGAGTTATTTTCCATATAACAAATATTTGGTGGCTGGGGGATTTTTTAAATCAGTCTTGGATATGTCAAAGATTATCCAAAATATTGACTTTGATGCATTGTTAGTTTTTGTGTAGCATCAGATTTAAAATGTAGTTCCCTGTTTGGACATTGGAAGGCGAAAATGTCCAATTTACAAAAAACTGCTTTAAAAATAGAACAGATTCATATTTTTTTTTACTTTTTTCTACATAAATCTCTTAAACAACTTCTGCCCTGCTCAAAACTATCAAATATTGAATAATTGTCAGGAATTTAACCCTTTAACTGCCAGTTATTCCCTAAAAACACCAAATTAAAGTGTTTTTTTGTTGTTGAGAAGAGCCTGGTAAACTGTGAATCAGGCTCCAAAACATACAGGTATGAGACATTTACACACTGTACTTTAACACACCTTGAAGCACAGCATACTCATGCACAGGATTTGTTGTGCCTCAGAAGTGTTTGGAGAAAAAAGTGACAACTTATACAGCTCATACATATACATACTTACATATATTCCTAACTTATATGTATGAAACCTTCCATTTTCTAGTTACAGAAGGTTTTTTTGTTTCATAGTGCAGATTTATGTTTGTGTATGAGTATTAGCTTATGGCACAGTCCAAACATAATTCAGCTCTCACTGTCAAATGTTCTCATGTTTTCAACAAGTAATTATAGTTGTGTTGATGAATATGCACATCATGTTTATTTTCTCTTGAACAGGTTTTGACTACTACTTGGGTATCCCTTACAGTAACGACATGGGCTGTACCGACACACCAGGATACGATTTGCCTCACTGCCTTCCATGTGTAACATATGGGCCGCAGGTGATGAGGTGTGGCTCCTAATATATATGACCTTTTCATGCTGTTGTCAGAGTTGCTCTATTTACATATCCAAGGGATTCACTAGTTTACCTTTGTAAACATTTTACCTTGGTACCTATTTAGTATTTTAATATAAACTCACTTACTTGATCTCAAAGTAAAACTCTGTATGGTGAATGGCTGCATGTTTAACATTTATGTGTAAAGGGAGACCTAACCAAACACAAATCATCTGGAAACTACTTGGCACCAATAAAAGTTTTTAACGTTGTAATGCTCTGTTATTCTCGTGCTCTAGATTTCAAAGGAGCGCACGTGCAGGCTGTTACTCCAAAGTGGGCCTTCCTCTGATTGAAAACAGAAGTATTGTGGAGCAGCCGCTTGACCTGTGGACACTGACCGAGCAATACCAATCTGCTGCAACCAGGATGATACGCAATGCAAGGTACGATACATCAGTCAAGACGAACCGTATTCAAAGTACAATCAGTGATTTTAAACAGGCTGTTGTTAACATATATATATATTTTAATTCCTCTGCTACACTAATAGAACAAAATTGTGTTTGCATGTTTGAATTCATTTTATGTCAAGGAGCTCTGGCTGTAAGTCGTATGTCTAAGTCCGTGGTTCTCAACTGGTGGGTCAGGACTCAAACGTGGGACTTGGATCTGTTTTCAGTGGGTCTCAGACGAGTATCTGGGAAAAAAGTTGTGGCAAAGGACATTTAATTCCTATGATGCATTCGAGTGCAGTAGTAAGGTCGTTTATTCACACTTCAGCGCAGTAGGTTGCGGTAATGCATCCTAATGTTGGTTGCTAACTGCCATTAAATGACAAAAGAAGAAGAGAGAGTGTAGATTTTGTTCTAAAACAAATACAAAGCTGTATATGTTAAATATATGGGTTATCATCTGTTGTGTGTAGAGAAGTGCTGTTTGTTTGACTACCTTCTATGTTGTGTTTTGTGATGCCAGGGTTTGAGCAGTTGAAAACCAATGGTCTAAGTCATTGTACAAATGACAACATACCACATTTGGTACTTGTATCCATATGCATTTCAAGATTTTAAGTTGCATTTCTGCATGAGATCAGAGGAAAGCATGTTGATTAAAGGGGAACGATTCTGTTTGACTTCCCTATAGTTGATGTTTACAGACCACTGCAATGCAAATACTCTGAGAATGCATACAGATGGTCCTAAAGCTTTGGGGCATGAGCACAGCTTTATCAAGTTAAACAGTGTGTTTGTATCAAACGGGTGCTGTTAATATAGTGGGGAAAGTGTGTTGTTTCTCTCTTCAAGTAACATTGGTAATTTGAATTTTGCATTTTCATTTTAAGCTAAATGAAAATGCAACTAAAAGTCAAGTCAGCCTTCCCCTGAAGGAGTCGTGCCTCATTACCTTGTAGAACACCAACAGTAAACATAGTCTGTTACTGTGCAATCTGTAACAGACTAAGTTAGCACTGATACAAAGAAAGATACAGCAAACACAATGCCAGTTGATGAACTTCCCAAATCTTCACACAGGCTTTCTTTGAGGCAGAGGAGGACAGCAGTAAACCCGGCTCTTTGCATCTCACTGAAAATCAGATCTTCGTGTTATAGCACAGGGTCATGTGAACTGTTGCAGCGGTTATCAATCATGTGATCTGTCAAGACCCAGAAGTATGCATGCTTTCATTCACTGAAGCCGTTTCAAAGCTGTGGTTAAGAAAGTTCCTACTAATACAAAAGAAATGGGAGCATGAAGCACAAACGAAGAAGAAAAAGAACTTTACGCCCACACTTTAGCTTCAAAAATACATCATAGTCATGTTTTTCCCTTTGACTTGTAATGTAGGTAGATAAGATTGTATCTGATATGATTTATGTTATTACGACCCATGTATGTTATTATTATTATTATTATTTATTTTTTTTAAATATATATATTTTTTTCTTCAGTAATTTGGCTACATCTGTGCTGCCTTGTTCTGTGTTTGTTATGTGAAAAATGTAAAATATATATATATATATATATAAATAAATAAAACCTTGAAAACCAGCCAATCCAGCGCTGCATGCTTGCAAGCCAAGCAATGAGCAGTTAAGAAAGATAGAGTTGTTTATTTAGTTATTTTAATCACTGTCAGACATGTGTGCTTCTTTGTGTTTTGTTTTTTTGGGGGTTTTTTGGGTCGTATATTCTCATATAATTTCCAGCTTCACCGCATTTTAGTGAGAAAGCTCTGAGCATAAAATGATGTGAAGAGGCTCATGTCTGTTACAGAACCACAGGTAATTGAACTCAAAAGCACGACTCAAAATACAGTCCTTGGTAAGGGAAAAAAAAACAGTCTTTACTTTTGACAAGCAAACCGAATCCAAAAAAAGGGAACAGGGAAAGTCGAGGTCAAAAACACAACAGAAGTTGATTCCAAAAAGTTATCTAAGAGAAACAAAAGTCTTGTACGCTTCACACAGAGGTCAAAGACGAACTGGCACAGAAGGAAGGGAAGCCACAGACTCAATACTAAGGTGAGGGGGAAGACAATAAGATGCAGCTGGGAACAATCAGGGCGGGGCACATGAGGGCAGGAAGTGAAGGATCTGAAATGAGAGAAGAGGTTAATGACCCAAAACAGGAAATAAGTAGAAATTAAAACATAACCTAAGACATAACCTAACCTAAGCTGGACACGACAATGTCCTCATATGTTGACAGAAATTCAGAAAACCTATCTTTGCAGGGAGCGAGGACAGCCGTACCTCCTGTACTTAGCGTTAGCTCACATGCATGTTCCCCTGGCCCCTCCACCCCCTCAAGATGCTACCATCACAGACGTGTACTCTGCCAGCCTGCGAGAGATGGACAACCTGGTGGGGGCAGTAAAGAGCGCTGCTGATGAGACAGACAATACTCTCATCTGGTTCACTGGTATGATGGATTCATTACATCTGTTGTTTAACACTGTCAGTGTAACTGTTATCGCAGTTTATTTATTATTAAGTGTGATGTGTTTAGGTGACAACGGTCCATGGGAACTGAAGTGCCAGTATGCAGGAAGTGTAGGACCATTCAAGGGGAAGTGGCAGACCAGCAGAGGTATACAAAATAAGGCATGCATTATGAAGGGAAGTGATTGTTAATGCATATTATTAGCCTGGGTAACTGTACACTTGTTGTGAATCCCTATGTTCCCAAAGTCATCTTTATCCTGTGTGATAGGTGGAGGCTCAGCTAAGCGCACCACCTGGGAGGGAGGCCACAGAGTTCCAACAGTGGCTTATTGGCCGGGGCGGATCCCTGCTAACACCACCAGCTCTGCCCTGCTCAGGTACTCCCCATCTGACCCACAGACAGGGAACTAATCAGATTCCATAGATACTATGTTCACTTTTTAAACCATGTGTACATACAGTATATGTACTTAACTAAGTCCAGATTTAGAGACCATTATGAAATATATCGAGACAACTGTTTGGTAGATTGACATTAAAGTGGGTTTAGATAATTGTAATCACTTCAATGACTCCCTGATTTTACATATTGTGCCATACTCAGATCAACATTTTAATATATTTTCAAACAATGACATTTTTACATTTTATTTTAAATATTTATTTTTTGTTCACACTGCTTTAGTGCACCCTATTCTCAGTATGTAAACAGTACATCTTTAGCAACACTGAACTATACACAACACATGGATCTACTGTTTATTTACACAGTACATATTGCATTTATTTTTGAACCATCTACCTCCTGTATAAATAAGCAAACTGGTTATATTTGCTGTGTTAAAAATGTTTCATATATTTCTGTCTGTACAAAGAGAGCATGTATACTCATACATGACCTACATGGTTTAATCTGATTCTGATTGTGACTGGTCTTTGTACTAATTTGCACATGGGGAACATGGTCAATACTCAACATCAGTTTGTTATTATTATTATTCATGTGTGCTTGTATCGTTAGCATTTAGCTCAAAGCACAGTGTCAAAGAGCAACTAGCCTGGCTATCGTCCATGCTGGCTGTGTAAGACTTTCATTCTTCTGTTTTCTCTCTCCTAATTGTCAGTTGTATAAGATATGGAACATTTGTAGATATCTCCACTTTAACAGAAAAAAAAAACACATCTCATTTACGCTCTGGCAGTGGTTTGGACATCTTCCCAACTCTCCTCTCCCTGGCGAGAGTAACTCCCCCCTCAGACAGACGCGTCGATGGAATTGATGCTTCAAACATCCTCCTGCACGGTGAAGAGGCGGGTCATGAGGTACAAACTTTTTTGATTTGATTTATTTCACTTTTTTTTTTCCTGTAATGTCGACTCTGATTAACACTAAGTTGCAGAGATGAGCTGATGTCTTTTTTTCTTGTAGTTTCTCTTCCATCCAAACAGCGGTGCTGCCGGCAGGTTTGGTGACCTGCAGACAGTTCGAGCAGGGAAACACAAAGCTTTCTACATCACAGGTAAAATAAAGTGTCACATGTGTGCAAAAAAACAGCCTTACTACATTTGCAGGTCAGTCATGTTATTACTGAAACTGAAGCTGCTGTTTTGCTGCATAACCACAATTGGTATGAATGACATCTTGCATGTCAACCAGCCAACCAGCCTGTGTTGTTTTCTGAGCATTACTTAAATAGTCATCAGTTTCATTTTCACAGACAAGCATCAAGCTGCATAAATATGAATACCTTCAATAAAGACCAAATTAATATTATATCAGTGTTAGCAAGCACATTTATTGAAGGCTAATATAAGAAACACATTTTTTTTGTTTGGTAACTTTAAAACAAGCATCATTAATAAACAGTAAAATGAAAGTTTCTTTACAAACAATGGAACATGTGTTACATACTGGATAATGTTTACTAATGATTAGTGATGCTACAATTGAGGTTACTTTGTCATTAAATCAATAATATGTTTATAAATTATGTTTTGTATTAAAGCTGATAATAGACAATACAGATCACATTGTGATTACATTAGTACAACAATTATTGACAGTTTTGTAAAGACTGTTTATTAAATATGGTTGTAGCAGCCATTTTCTGGTTATTTGTTGTTTTGCATTTGTTTTTGTTGTTTGTGAACACCAGGGGGCAGTGCACATGGGTTGATTAGGAACCCTTTAAATGTTCCAGGTGTGTTACTGTTGGGGTGCATCCGAACTGTCCCTCCTATCTCCTTTCACTATCCACTTTACCTTAACCCCGCGAAAACGTCATGAGGTCAAGGAAAGATGTTAGGAGAATTCATAAAGGACTTTGGGAAAGGCGATCTCGTTGCTCTGACAATCCGACCGCATTTTCCACTAGACAACGTCATTAAATGCGACGGGCCGGCGGAGGTTAATGACGTAGGTCTGCCGTGTTGAAACTACAATGTTCCGAAAATGGACTACAAAAAACGCATCTAAAAAACTTTCCCCTGTGCTTCTTACCGGTGAAATAATCCTAATTACCACAAGGTTGGGATTGAAATAAAGGAAACATAGACTACCAGACTACAAGTAAGAAAAGTGAAACCTTCAGCTTCCTGTCCACTCAGAAATCAACATCAACATAAATATGAAATTAATTGTTTCATGTATGCAAGACAAGAATGTACAACTGAAGAAATGCACAAAACATTCTGAATTGAATGAAATATGTTGAATAAAACATCATCTGATAAAAATGTCTCTTATCTTTTATCTCTTTCATGATCTGTGTCACTTTACGATCATCGTTAATGTTCGTGAACAGTCGGATGCGCGAGTCGCTTTAAATGTTGCGGCCGAAAGGAATTGTGGGGCGTCAAATCTCATCTCCTTTGGTAAAGGATGGTCCAGTGTATCCTATGCTAAAGGAGGTTATAAAGGAAGCATTGACCCACCTTTCCTTAACTTTTAGAGAATTCCAACGGCTCTTACCATGGCCGCCACTTAACTGCTTCCGGGGTTAAGGTAAAGTGGATAGTGAAAGGAGATAGGAGGGACAGTTCGGATGCACCCTTGGGTGACGCACCAGGAAGGGACACAGGTGTTTTTTTTTACCACATGTCAATGAGACAGTTGAATGGGATGCAGTTGGAAATGTTTGTTTTTCTAAATGAAATGAAGAAACATGATATTCCTGACTGGATATTGAACTTATTGCGTGGTTAGGCCTCACTGGAACGGTGAGGCATCAGTGGCTGTTTGTTGAGTTTATGTGGATTGTTTATAATTGTAACTTAATTTGTTTTTTGGACAAATAGCCACCACAATGGTTCTTGTAAAATGTAAACTCTTGTGCAGGTGCGGCGGAGGCATGTGGTGGTGCATCAGGGAGGCAGCAGCTCCATGACCCGCCGTTGATATTTGATCTTGAGCATGACGAGGCCGAGGAAACCCCTCTGCAGGTCCAGACACCGGAGTACCAGGCGGCAGCGCTCCGGATCGCCCGCAGGAGGGAGGAGTTATTATGGGACATCGCAACAGACGAGTCCGTGTCAACAGCGGATTACAGCACAGACGATTCAGCGGCACCCTGCTGTGACCCTGGACACGCTGTCTGCCGCTGCAGCACGCTGGGCTGAAAAAAAAAAAACACACACATACACGCAAACACAACGAGAGAGAGGAGAGCTCATCTAAACAAACAGATGTGTTGACAGATGTTCCCCTTTGACGTGCTCGACTGGTTGTTTGTTGAGCATTTTGTTTGGGAAGTTCAATGTCCAGATGCAGAAAGAGACAAACAGGAAGAGGTCAAAAAGGTCCAGACAGCCAAGCTTTGATGATGTAATGTCTATGTTTTAGTGAGGGAAAGATTGTTACACTTTAATCAAAGTCATAGTCAAATGTAAATCCATGAATAACTAAAGCTTTGGGGGGGAAACTCTCAGATTGTTTACATTTATAATCTGGTTGGATATTAAATGACACACAACACAACATTTAATTATTACCATAAAGCATTTGTTGAAATAAGCACACATTGCACAGGTTGAATAATGTCTCAGCTTTAATGAGTCTCTGGTTTAAACAGCTCAATGCAGCGTCAGGGTGTCCTATCAGCGCCACCTTTTGGCAAGTCAAATGGTATTACCATGTTACTTTATTACAACAGTACTATTTATAAATGTTATATATACATTATACACACAGTAAAAATCCTCAATGCAAACATGGGAAGTCTATGCGTCGACGTGTAATACTTTTATTTAATACAACAAAGTAAAAATGACTCATGTTTAATGAAACTGAATTCAGCATCAAAAGGTCTCCAGGATTTATCACTGAAATGAAAGGACTTTTTTGTCACATCCGTCTTAACATGAAGCTTTTCACATTCAGCTGCTGACTGCTCCTCCTCCTCAGACAGACAAACCTTCAAGATAAATTAGAAGCTTACATTTGTTACTCGTCGTCTATCTCCACCATGGTTAGTATGACAGCTGCGTCTGCCCATCATAAAATACATACTGCATCATGACTTATAAAGTGTCACATCCAAAAACATTTATTTTTTCCTTCTTGAAGGGAACTGCTGCTCCTCCTTGTAGAGGTGGGACACATTTAATGCCCGTTTTGAAGCTTGGAAATTTCAACGCTAGATTGACGAAAATGCACTTTTGATAGATTTTTTAGATTTGTTTTTGTGCCGGAAAACACATTTTTCTGTTTGAAAATTTGACTTCTGTGATTGCATTTGGCTTCTTTGTAAAAGCTCGTATGAGGACTTGAAGCATCTATCTAGAGCTTTTGTTTGTCAGTCTGGACCCTGGTTTGGCCACAGTAACCTGCTGTCTTCACTGTGGTGGAATCTCTGTAATTATTTAGATTCTAATGTACAGACGTTATTAGGTTTATTCATTGTTCTCTAATGTCAGTCAGACCTGACAGAGTTCAGTTGTGATTAGAACACCAAGTACATCTTAGAGAGTGTCAACTGTTTTTCCTGATATCTGAAAAGATGTTTGGTAGACTTGTTGTCTGCTCCAGTGTTATAGACGTCACAGATTAGTCTAGGTGGCACGACCCTGATAATGATAATGTCTTTTAGGATATATGCGATGCCTTTCGAAGAGTTCTGCAGATGTGATTGAGCAAGACACGAGTACAGAAGTGTGATGTTGAATCATGTCTCCTCATGAGTATTCTTCTTATGTATAAACTTTCATCAACGTAAGCCATCTAAGTCAACTGAGTCTTATTGTGTGAAGTCAAGTCTTAATAGTTTCCTCAACACTCATGACCACCTCGTTACATTCAGTCTGCTCACTGATACTGGACCAAACACGCGCTCACCTTGAATGCAACCATGAAAATAATTTGCAGCGGTTTACTCCTATGCTGATTTTGTCATGTACATCTTAAAGTCTCTCCTGCTGTCTTTGAGCAGTCAGATGTATCACTCATGGAGAATGGTTGCCTCTGAATGTGTTTAAAAAAGGCTGTTTCAGCGCCTCGTTCAGCAGCAGCTTCAGTTAACAATAACAACAAAGTAATAATTAGTCTTGTCACTGAGGGTCTTGTTTGCTTTAGAAGGTCATGAAGAAGCATCAGTATTCGTTTCAGTCAGTCATAATCCTCACAAGAGCTTTAATGGTATCATGTGGAATTTAGCAGTGGGACTCTTTGAGAGTCTTTGAATCTGTCTTATAAAAAGATGTTCTGTTTTAATGATGAGTGGACCTCCCACTCTATTTTAGTGTTTTTATTTTTAAATCTTAACTCTTCAGAAAAAAAGAGACAGGGATGCAAATACAGGAACATCAGGAAGTAACATCTTGGCGACATGTGACCCTAGGCCAGCAGGGTTTACATGTGGAAGAGCGGGGTCACCACAACATATCTCAACACAGGAATATTATCCCACCCCCAATCCCTGCTTGAAACAAGTATAAGTCTGAATCTTATTCAGGGATGTGGATGTTTAACAAGAGGAGGTTTGGTCAGTTACTCTAGTTGCCGACTGGAGGGAATTCGTTCTCGTCGTCGAGACACACGGGGCTCTCTGCGAACTCGTGCTCCGGGAAGATCTCCCCCTTCTGGGCGCCGCCATCCTCAGAGTAACCTGGGAAGAAATGAAGGAGGAAAAGAAGACTTTTGAACCTTTATGGTGACGGCTATCTTGTGTAGGATCTTAACAAACTTTAAATGTACTTTGGGTAGTTTTTATAGGTGCATACTATAAATAACCCATAAAAGAGTTTTTCCTGCTGCTGATTGGCTTAAACAATGACATTTTAAAATTGCCTTCTACCCACCAACCCTTCATATATAAAACAAATGATTATTTGATTTGAGTTTTGAGTATTTTATTTTTTTACATTTTTAAACACAACCCATCTAAATTCAGGTAAGAGAGCCTTATACAATATTTAAAGCGTTATCCATGTAGCATGAAAGCTTGAATCATTTAAAGCACCGTAGGTTGAAAGGAGTTCAAGTCAAGTATCTAGTAGACGAGGCTAGTGGAATATCTTTTCATCAGCTTTCTCATCTGGAATTATTCAGGACATCGTACCCATGAGAGTAGTCGAGGAAGGAGGCGTTGAAGGGAGAGCCACAGTGGCGGCGTATGATTGGCTGGCTGGTTGGGGAGAGACATCCTCCTGTTTCTCCTCTTCACTTTCCTCCACCTGCTCCTCGCTGGAGTCAAACAACCTGCAGGAGCAGAGCACACAACACTGTTACACCAAACTCATGATAGATACCATCACAAACACATAAGTTCAGTCTGTTCAGACTATAAATAAAAAAATCCCTCCCTGCTGAAACTCTCAGCTCTTTTAAATCCAGGTTGAAGACACAACAATTTTTATTTGATTATATTATATTTTCAGATTTAATAATTTCAGTGATTTTTTAATGTTCTATTTTAATGTTTATTTTCTTTCCTCTGTCATGATGCTTTTTGATGTCTTGTGTGAAGCACTTTGAATTGCCTTGTTGTTGCAATGTGCGACATAAATAAACTTGCCTGCCTTCCATTTTTTCAGTTATGCCATATTGTTTACATGCAGACAGTCACACATGATTTAGCCCTTTAAGAGACACACACACCTGTGTTTTTGAACCAGGACGCACTCGCCTCCATCCTGTGGATCGACATTATAAATGTAAAGAAACCCGTCTGAGGACGCCACCAGCAGGCGAGGGAGCTTCTGGATCCTGACAGACAAAACAAACACAAGATTATGAATGACTCGAGGCAGAAAAAACCCCCCAGAAAAAAAACATCCCTCTCTTGTCTTTCACTTGTTCTGTCTTACGTAGCCAGGGCGCAGATATTCTTCAGGCCAAACATGTTGAGTCTCACAGTGGCAAAGGCTCGGTCCTGGTGCATCATGTCAGACACCTGGGCGGGAAGGTATGTGCTGGCTGCTGTGAACATTTTGCCCATATACGCTGACCACGTAGGAGACTCCTCCTCTTGACTAGAAGACGAACAAGAAGGGTCCATAAAGGTTAAAGATACTGTATGTTAGGCGTCAACACTTTGGATGACTCTCTTTAAAATGTGATTTTGTTTTTGGTTAACCAGATGATTTCTTTTTTTTTTTTTTTAAATCACAGCAACAAATGAATGCATTGTTTTACATCAGAAGTAGAGCAGAGGGTTCAGGACAAATGCATGCATTGTCCTTCTCTGAACCACACGAGGTTTAAAGAAGGAAGTAAAATCCTTTCCAACACAGAGACAACATCTCCTGTTGTTAGTTTCTTTGGACAACAACTTCTACCATATCTTTATAATGTTACGTTGACTTATTCATAAAAAGAAAAAGGAGTAAATCAATTAATATAATAAAATATATGTGCAATATTAACCTTAAAAACAAAAAAAACAATGTCATTATATAATGTGAAAAATATGTGTGCAATAACCTCGTGCAATAAGAGATGTAGAAAGTAGAGACAAGAAAACATGTTTATATTTTCATTTCATTGTACAGTGTTCCCCTTTGTTATTGTTTGTATTATATCTTTGTTTTAATACAGTGTATAGTGTCTGTACAGTTTATTTTAATTTTACTTAGCTGTTACTATAACTTTTTTATTTGTTTTATTTAGTACTTTATTATTATTATTATTACTATTTTATAGATAATTTTAACTTTTTTGTAGAAGCTGACTCAGGGAGAAATGCACAAGAATTCCAATGTACCTGTACTGTCCTGTACCTGTGCAAATGGCAATAAACATCTATCTATTCTATTCTATATCAAATAAAATATCATGGTTGTGTTGTGGTTTTTTGGACTCCAGGATGAGCATGCTTTAAATGTGTGTTTATGATTAAACAGTTCAGATATTGTATCTAAGCTGGTAAATCAATTCATCCATCATGGGATCAATGGAAAGAAAGCTCTGACTTCTACTGCCATCAAGAGAAAAAAACAACAATAAACTGTGTGTGTATGTTTACCTGGGGCTGTGCTGCTCCAGTTTAAAGATATGAACCGTCTCAGTGTTGCTCGAGGCGCACAGGAACTGAGCGTCTGTGCTGAAGGACAACGAGCTGATGCTCACATATCTGAAACACACAAAGAAAAGACGGTTCAAGAAACCAAAGAGTGATAATTAAAGCTGGAGGAGAACAAGCAAGAGAGGAAGCTATAATAAAAAAAAAAACATGAACGTGCCGTGCCACTTATAGTGCAACCCTCTCAAACGACTTGTTTTCTGCAGCTTCAGGACAACTTCACCTGAAGAGAGCATGGTCAGAGTGGACACAGGTAGGCAGTAAGCAAACAGGCGGATAGTCTGTCCAAAGTGATTTCATTTGTTTGAAGTGAAATGACTAGAAAGACTGTTTACAGATCTACAACAGCCACAATTACCTTTCTTAACTTTTTCTTTTGTCAAAGCAGGAGGAGCAGCAACTAATCTTAAAATGATGCTTTGATGCTAAATTTGATGCTAACTTACCCAGGCCGTCTTGACACGTACATGCCCAGAAGAAGATGCAGGCTGAAACTGGTCTGCCTTACTTCCTGTTTGTTGATGTTTTTGAGATAACCTCCCTCATTAAATAAAATAAATTTTTAACTACCTCCTTGGCTCGTGATAAAGTGTTTATAGAAAGCCCTGAGGCTTCCCTTTTTCTTTAGTTTAGTTTTCAGATTTTAAAAGTTCCCAGCATTCACCTGGCATTACAACCCTGCCACTGTGAGC